CGTGCATACCAACCATCCTGGAAGTGGCAACTGTGTATCATCCCAAGCAAGCTTTTGTAATGCCAAAACTTCTGTTAGGCCCTAGTTTTCCTCTCAGTTCCTGCTTTCAAACAATTCTTCCACAAATGCAACCAATCTGCAGAGTAAAACTAACAGCAGTTCTGCATTAGTATTTGACATGAGTCAAGTTTATGTGCTGTTTGTATTAATAAATGTAAGATATTCCAGCAATTGTTTAAGCATTTATGCTTTTATTAAAACTGAATTTGTCAGGCCATTAAAAATACATCACTATCTCAAAATACACCTATGGATAACTAAGGTAGTTTTTTTGTGAGGGTGCAGGTAGATCAAGATCAAACTGTTCTGAAGCACTTTCATGTCATTACCTTTCTACCACTTGAAGGACTCTTTTTTCAAAGATACTGATGAGGAGCTCATCAAGTGTGTGTCATATAGTACATGCAATTCTAGAAGGTTTCTCATGAATTTATTAAAATGAGTAGAAAAAACCATAAAAATGATTACGATGAAAAGCAATTATCAATCTCACAAGAAACTGTAGAAGAAAACATGCTGCTTAGCAGATTTGCAAATAGCCTACAAGTGGGCTATCCAGTGAGGAGATTAAACTTTGTTGATATAATGTTATTGAGAGTAAACAAAACTGAAAGAGAGGATGAACAGTTGAAGATGACATATTTGTAAATTAAGAATTAAGCAGAAGTGATGCAGATGGATTTCATGCATTAATACCTGAACTTCAGAAAAACAATTCTACAAGTAATGGACTCAGAATTATTTCTAGAGAAAAGAAATCCTGGAATCATCAAATATCCAAATCTGGAAATATAGCTCAATGTTTAGCAGAAGAGAATAGGCAAACACCACTAGAAAACCAAGACAAATAATACAGAACAATTAATATCATTATAGCCTTGCAGAAAATTTCTCTTTCATACCACGACTGCTCTAAGTACAGAAGCATCCAAAAAGATGACAGAAGGGGAACAGGATGATCAGAGATATAAAAGATAAGGAGAGATTAACTTGACTAGCAATAACTAGTATTTTTAGATTATCCACATGGACAGTGACCCCAAGCTCTTGGTCAGAAGCTGCAAAGGTTTGTTGGGAGGAGCACCACAATAAACTTAGTCTTCTCTTTTACTCTCTCCCTACAGCACCAGTAATTGGTCACTGCTAAATTTGAACCTGTTCTACTACAAGGACTTCTAGACTGAACCAGTATCATCCCTCTCTAAACAGCCCTATTCTATAATGCTTTAATTCCAGCCACTCTAAAAAGCATGCAGACAAAACTAAGCTACCCTCGGAGATAACATCTAGCACTAATTAGATTCTGGCCCTGTTTACTAAGTCATTGAATGGCAAGGCACAATGGTATATTAACTTGACATATTAAGAGTCAAAAGAGCATTTTTCAGTTACAGCTATTAAAAGTGTGTGGAAGAACTGAATCCAGGTGTACTACGTAAATATCTACATACGCAAACATTATATGAAAACGGAACCATAGATCTTTGCTTGGGCACCCCCAAAGTAAGAGTTTAGACATACAAATAGTAACAAAATGGAAGGTTTAAAAAAAGAAAAAAAAAGCATGCACTGTTTTTGAGTACACACTAGATGTCAATTAAAGGGCAAACAAACAGACCTATTGCAAGTAAGAGAGAATCTCAGGATGGTCTAGAAGAGCTCTGGAGTTTTTAATCAAACCTCATAATTTTTCACTTAATACTTATAGTTGGACAGATACATCTAATTTATTTATCCATCCTGTCACTTTGTAAATGGTTTCAGAGGACCTTCCACAAGCATGAGTAAATTTCAGATTGGATGACCTGAAAGAAACTTTCATGGCTATGAAGGATTATTTTTTTCTTTAATCCAGATGCATACAATAAAATTACTTTAAAATAACTTTTCACAGTTTCTCACTCCTAACTTTCACTGTTCCCACAGCTTCCCACAGTTTCTCACGGTTTCTCAGTTTCCCACATCTCCCCCTTTTTTGTTTTCTAGCACCAGGCATAGTTAAGGACCCAAAACGTAATAGCCAAGGAGTTGGCTTTGACAACGCTGTAAAACCTCCCAACAGTTCAGCAAGTTCTTCTTCTTTCCTTCAATGGTGGTGACTAAATTCGCATTCTTCTTTAGAACAGTTGTTATCGTTCTTTCCACTAAGGCACGTATCAGTTGTATGAGACATGGCAAATACATACAAGGGATTATGATTACAGTTAGCACTATACATCCCATTACAAATATTCATTTGAGTCCGGTTGCCCACGTGCGCCAAGGTTACCCACACATTCTCTCGAGGTTGAAGCGGTGGTGCTGGCATTGCAGTGATCACTTTGGTTGCAGCGAGTCCATAGAGGATTAGTCCTCCGATGATTGTTGGAGCTCTTCCTTGGGATCTTCTCCTCTCTCCGCAGCCGTCGGCGTTGATAATGCCGGCTTTATCCATCGTGCTGGTACCCATCGGTTTTGTCCTGCAACATGAATACAAGCATACCCTCGCCCCCAGGTTATTAGAGGTCCTGGGCCTTCCCATTTTTGCGTGTGTAAGTCTTTATACGTTACTTTTGCCTGTCCCTCACTTTGTGGCCCTTTCCTTGCCTGATGATGACGTTCAATTGGGATCAACCCGTGTTCTTCCCGATTTAGAAAATTTAATACATACATTGCCTTATTTAAACGGTCCTGGGGGGTGTACCCTTCACTCCCCCTTTTTTGTTTTTCTAGCATGTTTTTCAGAGAGCCATGAGCACGTAATCGCCATTTCCCGCTTTTCATTTTGATGACAAACACCCGTGTGCTCCACGGGCCGGTGGACGGCCGGAGGTGGCCTTGACGCAGTTGGTCCGCAACAAGCTCGCAAAGGTGGCGCGGCTTCTCTGCAGGGAGGGTCCACTGATCCACCCATGTTAGGTCCGGTATCCGAACTGACAGGGAGAGAGACAACCACCATAGATATATTGTCTTTTATTAATAGAAGAAAGATAATAAGTATTACCAGCTAGCTGGGGTCCGGGCTTTCCCAC